TGTGGTGGTGGTGTGTGTGGGGGGGGGGGGGGGGGGACCCTTGCCTCTCCTCCTTGCTTGCTTACCACATAATTTTTATTATTTTAAATATTGAATCAGTACAAAATGTCCCACGTGTAATTGTTCGTCTGGGATGCCAAGCAGGGTTAAGAAATAGCAAGTACAATCGGAAATTCTTAGAACTGGAAGAGTTTAGTCTGGTATTTTGTTATGTGAAGAGAAGATTCAAACCCCTAGTTCGTTGAGAAGTGATGCTTGTATAAGGAGTGTCCAAGCTTTCTTTCTGCATTTCCATTTTGTCTGTGTGTGGACAGTCGTGATGAAAGGAACCTTTGATATTCACCTGCCATTTAACTATTTCTTACAGTATTATTTATGCAATTGGTTTAATTTATCTATTTGTGTTGAACTTTATTTTTAGAAATTTCGTCATCAAGATCAAAACCATTTTTACTTAAAATTAGAGGATTTGAATTTTTAAGATTTAACTTAATGGTCACCTCTTAATTGTTGGAGTCAGGATATTTGAAGTCTGAATAATAGTGCTTTAAAAAATAAAAAATAAAAAAAAATAGTAGAATGTGATTAGACATGAAAGTCAAGTTTCAAGTTTTTTTTAGCTTAGAGGAGGTCTGGGCGTAAAAAAGCATTTTGTTCGATACTTCAACTAAAAAAAAAAAAGAGAGAGAGAGAGGAAATACGGAAAAGCTTAAAAGTGTTCCTATGTAAGTTATTAACTAAGCTCTAAAATAATTATAATTTTCTTTTCTTCAAAATTGAAAATAAGTAAATTGTTTGTGATTTTATTACTAAAATAAGAGTTAATATGGAGAGATCTTTTTTTTTTTTTAAATAGAAAAAAGAAACAGTAATTTCTTCAAACATGTTTATAAATTTTACTCATTTTAAGCTTAGTCAAACATGCTGATCGTAAGCTGTATTTGTATAGCAATTGATATCGACAGCATTGGATGCTCAGTTCACTAAAATAAGAGATAATACGGACACAATTTTTCTTTTTAGAATTTTGCAATATTGATATAGAATAAAGTTTAAGTGGTAAAAAGAATGATCCCAATGTTGTTTATAAGAAAACAAATGAATTTGATGAAACCAAAAAAAAAAAAAAACAAAACAAAACAAAAGAAAAATGTTTTAAATGGGTTGGTGAGTTTGGGGAAAATGAATTTTTTTCAAAAAAATAAAATCATCATTTTCTCTAGTTTGACCATTAAATAACGAATTTATTTTTTTCGTTAAATAAATATACTAACAAAGCAGTAAAACAACGAAAAAATAAGATAAAATTGTTACATTTCGAAAAGATTGGAATGAAAAGTGCAAACTTAATTAAAAAAATGAACCATCAGTTCAGTTTCTACGCCAACGGTCTACCAAACACAGCCGGTCCAAAGAAATATCAAAAATATTTCACGCGGTCGCCGTGACTTCTACATTTCATTTCGACTCAATATTCGGGATAACCGCCACAAAAAAAAATTTGCAATTTGAGTTTCATTCAGATCGAACTTTCTACTTTTAGAGAAGAAAGAACAAAAAAAGTCAGGTTTGTGTCCTATCTTAATTAACTTTTTCCCGATTAGATTTACTTTGTAGTTTTATGATCTTAATGTTTCTGTTAATTATATGCGCTTCTGTAAATTGAGGCTGAATTTTTTAAATTTTTTGTGATTCTTCTTTTTCCCCCCTTTTCTAGTTAGGTAAAGCGATGGATTCTATTTTTAGATGTTAAATGAGATTATAATTTGTAAGGATTTTAATTCAAAGTCATTTTATTTTCAGATCGTGGACAGTTTTTTGAAAATTCGTTGACTGGATCTCGATGTTTTCAATGTGATACGTGACTGAGAATATCATTTAGTGCTCTGGATTCCGATCAATTATTGCTGGTTTTCTTGTAGAGTTTAAGATTTTTGAAGTCTGTGTTGTAAAAGTTCAATGGCAAGGATCAAACCTCAAACTCTGTTACAACAAAGCAAGAAGAAGAAGGGACCAAGTCGCATCAGTGTTGCTACCACTGCAATTTATGGCATCGTAGTCGTTGGAATGGTGCTTTTCATTTTCGCCACCTGCAGATACTGGTCTAGAAGGTTTGTGATTTTTTTGGGTCTTTTTTGCACTCTGTTAATTCAGTTGCAGTTGAATTGTATGCTGCTCGTTTAGTGATCTGGATTCAATGCATCTTTATGAAATTTTGGAAATTATCATAATTTGCTAAAAAGTAAGAACGAATTGAATTCTCTTTTGAGTTGTATTCCTCTTGACATCCCAACTCTTATCAATTTAATAGATTTATGATTAACATTGATGGGTTGAATGTATTACTATATATGTCGTAGTATGCTTGTTTGTATATACATATGAGATTGTGGAATCTCTATGCAGATATTTACCAGTGAATATTTCAGTTGAAGATTTTGTTTTGGGATCAAAGGGATCAAGAAATGTGCTGGAAATAATAAATCTTAGTGATATACGAGATGTTGCCGAATTTTAGGATATTTTTTCAATTGTATGTACAATAATTATTGAAGGTTTGTTATTAAATTAGTTGTCCGATACTGGTCTAGAAGGCTTGTGATTCTTTTTCATTTTTGCATTCTGTTAGTTCAGTTGCAGTTGCACTGTACGGTGCTCATTTAGTGATCCAGATTTAATCCTTCTTTATGAAAGTTTGGAACTTATTATTATTTTGGCAAAAAGTAAGATTGGGTTGAATTCTCTATTGGAGTTGTACTCTCCTCGGCATCCCTACTCTTGTCAATTTAAAAGATTTATAATAAAGATAATGTATTATTATATAAGTCGTAGTATTCTTGTTCGTATATACATATTAGATTGTAGAATCTTAATGCAGATTTTTACCATTGAATATTTCAGTTGAAAATTTTGTTGTTGTATGAAAGGGATCAAGAGATGTGCTGGAAATAATAAATTTTAGTGATATACTCGATGTTGCCAAATTTAAGGATATTTTTTTCAAATCGCGTGGAATATAGCTTAGTTCTGGGAAATGCTAGTCCTTGAAAATAATTTTTATTATGTTCATAATCCTCATGTGTTTATCTCTGTTTAGGTCAAAACTTCCGATGGAGGATGCATTATCAGCTGTAGAGGTATGACTTCTTCCCCCACAAATATCTGTAGCTATTTCTTCCTTTTGTATACATTTAGGGCCTGTTTGATACAAGCCTTTTCCATGGAATGTGTTGTTTGATAGATAAAATTTCCATGGAATTCATTTTCCAACCTATTCCCCCCCCCCCCCCCCCCCCAACCAAAAAAAAAAAAGGGAATGCTAAAATGAACTTCCATTAAAAACACATACCCAAATTCTTGGGTTTTAAGGAACATGTTTTCCTTTGGTTTTGGTGAGGAAGTGTTTTCCAACGCCTTTTTTTTTCTCTTTTTTTTTTTTTGGCAATGAAAACTAATTCTATCTACAATTGTAACAAATTCTTTTTCTTTAATTGACAAGGAAAACAAAACCAAGTGAACACGAAAAGATCCAAAATTTCAACATTTTCCAAATGAAAAATTATACAAATCAAATATATTTAATTGACAGTCCTAGTGAAACAAGTTCTAAACAATTCAATTCCCTGAAATTCGTTTTCTTTCTACCCAAATTCCATTTTTACAATAAAACGGACCCTTAGAGTATATTTAGCTAAGAGTTTCTAGGTATTTATAAACACCTTGGTCAAATAATGCTTTTGGTCAAGCCACTTTTTATCTACACATTTCTAGGATCAACAAGTACTATCCAGCAATCATTTATCCCTGTCTATGAACACCTTACAAGACATACCATTAGTTAATTACTTGCTAGGTAAACCATTTCTAAATGAAAATCCAATGTGATTAGAACTAGATTTATACTTCACTTCTCTTGATTGCATGTGTGTTCTTGATCCTTGGATTGTGCTTGCCTCGATGTATGATTTTCTTTTCATACTGCAACCATCAGTAAAGCCATTTCTATGTTTATTTCAAATGATTTGAGTTTTCTACCCTTCCTTTCCTGCAGCGAGATAATGCTTTTGGCGATACAAAGAAAGTTGACATCCCTAAATATGCTGTAAGTTCCTTGATATGGAAGATAATCATTACTTTTGTACTCTGCTTCTATAAAGCAGTCAGTTAATTGTGTGGATGTGTGGAATCGTAATTTTGTTGATGAGATTGAGGCTTCTTTAGTGAATGCTTTAATCTTTATATAACAAATAATCAGAAAAATCCACTTCCTCTCATTATATCCTGCAGTCCTCTGTGTTTATTAGACTTTGGTCGGTGCCGCAAGCATCTATGTAAACATCATTTCTCTTCTAGTTAATAGATTGTACCCCACTTCTAGTTGTTATCTGCAGTACATGCTGCCAGACGTATATTAAGGCTATATTTGGTTGGAAGGATAAGAAGAGTAGGGATGGATAATTGCAGCATGGATTTTCTGTCCTTCAAGGAGATGAAAAATGAATTATACTTTTCCTCTTACTTTTCATTCCATACTAACGATAAATTTTCACTGCCCTTTCACTTTCATCCTTCCATTTCACATCCACACATATTTTCTGCCCCAACAAACAGATCCTGAACGAAATCCAATGTTTCATTTGGTGGTTTTAAACTTCCACGTCGTTTTTTCCTATGTCTCTTTTTAATGTTCTTTAATTTTCATTTCAGATAGTGTGATGACTTAGTTATATGACAACAGGTGATAAGTACCTCAAAAGGCTTAATAACTGTGGAAATTTACAATGAAGGATCTCCTGAGGTTGTCAAGCAATTTGTTGTCTCATGGTATGTATTAGGTCAATCTTTTTATTTATCAATAACATTAGTGTCTGGAAAATATGTCCCTTGTAGTTCTGTTGCCTAGTGTTTGCTTCTATCAGTGGTTCTTTGTTCTTGGTACTTTTACTGTCATGAATCTGATGCTCCATTATCTGTTGAAGTTACATGGTCTGTGAAAAGATGGACCTAGCCTCAGACTACTGATAATCTGTTGCCTGCCTTTTGAGTTGTTAATAGAAAATTTTATTAAGATGAATGTACAAGCATGTACACCATGAACTTTTTAACACAAGCTGAGAGTCAAAATTAACAAAACTATGGGCCTTTAGACTTCTGGATGTTGATACCACTGTCCCGAGATTTTCATAATTACTGAATATTGCTGGATCATTTCTAGGAGAGATGCGAGCGTTTATCCACTCTCTTCTATTGTCAAGTATAAATGGTGTAACTTGTTCATTTATCTAATTTATTAATTTGTTGTGTCGAACTCTCCAACTTTTCTCAGAAAAGGGTGGAAGAGCCAAGAGGTACAAAGTTGATTTGCTTCAGATGCCTTTTTTTGTTTGTTCAAACTTTTGTTTTTTAGTACTTATTGAACTTTTTCATTTTTAACCCCAAATGAATTTACAGTTTGACGGGGCGCTTTAAAGGAATGTTCTTTAACCGTGTAATAAAGAACTTTGTCATTCAAGGAGGTGGTGATGATAATGCTGGAACTATTGAAGATTGGACTTTGAAGGGAAAGCATTATAGTCATCTCGATACTAGGTTTGCTCCACCTTCATGTGCTGCTCTGAAATCTTTTAGTGATTAATTTGTCATGGCTGAAAGTTTCACCTTCATTCTTGATCCAGCCTGAAGCATGAAGCTTTTATGCTTGGCACTTCTAAGACAAAACACGATGGGGGCAGATTCGATCTTTTAATTACAACTGCACCGATTCCAGACTTGAACGAGAAAGTTAATGTATTTGGACGTGTCATCAAGGGAGAAGATGTTGTACAGGTGACATCTTAGTTATTATTTGTTACTTTTCTTTTGGTGCTTGGAGAACCCACTAGACCGGCTGTTCTGAGTGGAAATTACCATTCGCTAGCCTCAAAACTTCATTGATGAAATAGCCTCTTTCCCTGATTTTTCTCCATATTTTAAAATAATTATTGCACGATCTTCTGGCTAACTATTTGAGCCTTAGGTATTGCTTGCACGTGCCTTGTCCTGTCTATAATATGAAATTTTTTTTGGAGGCACATAGAGCTGCTGTTTCTGTCCCTACTTTTGTTTCTCCTTTACCATTGTTTTCGATATCATCACAAAGCATCTCTGAAAATTATTGATGCTTTTTAAGATATAAAATAATCTTGGTAATCCAGCATTTAATTGATGCTACCATATTATCCCATGTCAGATTAACCAATGTCTTCGCTCTATCATATGCTATTCAGGAAATCGAAGAGGTGGACACAGACGAGCATTATCGACCAAAACAACCAATAGCTATCATCGAAGTGACGATAAAACAGAAAATCTAGAAGATGTAACGTTCCTCTGACAGCTTCTCATGTCACACGACGTAAGCATTTCATGTTGTAGAAAGAAAGCCTCTTAATGAGTGTTGATTTGTTCACTCGGCATTTTCCTTGCGATTTCTTGTTTCTTGGAATTATGCTACACGCAGCTTAGAGTCCTGATAGAAAAAAGCTTGATTTTACCCTGTTTGTATAATTTTCTTCTTTTTTACCACACAATTAGCGTCAGCCTTTCTATGTTTCTATTTCTATATTGTAGATTATTTCATGGTAGGCTTGTCTTCAGAGAAATTCATTGATCCTCAGTACTGTAGTTCAAGATGAATATCAATTATTGGATTATTCAGACACGTTGATCCCTGGCTTTTGAAAAGGTTTATATCGTGTGTGCTTCAATCAGCTTTAATGAGAACAGTTAGACATTTACCTCTTATTTGATAAAGATTTTTTGAGAAGTGATTCTTTTAAGAAAAAATTTCATAGTGTGTTTTAAAAATAATGGAGTAACGTGGATATTGTATTTAATAATATATGAATGGAAATAAGTGTAGGAGGAGATTCTCAAATAATCAAAATCAAAGAAGGGTTAGGAGAAATTTTGTAGTAGGGCTTTTTAACTGTGGGAATTTAAGTGATGTTAACAGTCATGTTTTAATACATAATCCCATTTTATCATCATGTGGGCAGAACCAAACACCGAATTGGACAGTGTTACTGTTATATTGAACCAACCATCAACCTTCATAGAATATGTTATTCAACACCATTGATTTTTAAGATATGTTCAAATGATAGCAGTTGTGTCATTAAAAAGGATTTATGATTTCTTTAATAGAACTTATGACAAGTTTTTTAGTGTTCAATATCATTGATATTAGATAGCGTTCACCTTTCTATCATGTTATATGGTTGGTAGTGCGAATTACTATTTCTTGAAGGAAAAAATCATGTTTGAGCCCCATTATTTTTTCAACAAAATGAAAAATATGACTGTTATCCGTCACATCAAGTTATCATATTTGACTTTTTATATCTTGTATGGAATCTATAACGGCTATATTTTTCATTCTCATTTTTACAATAATGTGGCTCGAACGGGGGCTAAATAACATCATCCACTTATTTTACCATATAAACATATTTAGCCACCGTTTGGTCTCCATTATATGAGATTTTAATTTTTGGAATAATGTTTTTTAAAGAAAGAGTGGTTGAAAAAGAAAGAAAAATTTTTAATTCACATATAATATTATTCCATTAGAAAATGTGTGGTTAAAAAGAATGATGAGAAAAATGTATTAAATTTTTAATGGCGGCCAAACAAGGGCTTATATCCATTATAATTTTAATATGACCTAATGTGGTGTGTCAATTGTAGCTTTAGGATTTAGTCCTTGTTTATCTCCAATTTTTTTTATCAAATTCATTTTTAACCGCATAAAATTATGATCAATAATTTTTATCAACTTTTCAATCATACTTTTTTTCATCTTTATCAAATTTGCTAAGTATTTGATTTTAGCCTAACGGAGCTGGGGCTCATTTTCTTTTTCAAGAAAAGGGATTTTCCAAATGTTGAGGGCAATTTGGTCTTAAAGAAGATTTAATCTGCCCATCGATGATGAAGGGTAATTATATTCACACAATAATTTTTCTTTCTTACAACACATTTTAATTACACATAGGATTTTTAATCTTTGTTCATTATAGCACTTATGTTCCGAACGATTTTTTAATATCATTCTTGTTCTCAAAATTTTCATTAGTTAACACTTTGTATTGGATTTGATAACAATTTTATGTCCGAAAAGTCCGTTAAAATAACGTAAAATAATTTATTTTCCATCATATTTGGAAAGATAAATGAATAGAAAAAGTGCAAATATATTTTTTCCTCGTTTCACAATATGAAAATAAAATATTTTAATATAAATCATCATCAGTATGAGATTCAGTGGAAGGTTGAAGATAAAAAAAATCGATGGAAAAAGTTTAAAAAAAAAAAACGAAAAAAAATTGTTACAATGATTGAAGAAGCTAATTGCAATTAAATGTGTATAAAATCAAATTAACCACCCGTTGATGAATCCGTTAACCCGGGGCAAAAAGGTTCGGCTTAGGGAGAGCTTGAAGCCTGCGGCTATGGCCATTTCGCACCAATTCTCCTTCTCTTTACCCTCACTCTCCTATGACAAAGTCAACCACAGAAACTCTTCTGCTCGATTCAGTTGCTTTTCAACCGGACAAAAATCTGTGTGAATTTCTCAATATGTATTCAATTCTTTCACTTTTACAATCTAGTATCTTAATAATTTTTTGTTCATTCAGCTTGAAGCAACGGAAACAAAATCAAGAACTGAATACAAGCCAGGAATCCTCGATAATGTTTTCCTCACTTTGTTCCGTAAGAAAATGGTTCAGGTATTTTCTCAGTTCGTTTCTACTTTTCCTGTTTCTTTTCAGTTAAACGCTTGGAATAAATTGGCAGATTCTCCTATCATGTTGGGTAATTAATTACAACTTTTGTAAGTTCAGCCAAACTTCTTAAAAAGTATACCTACCAGGAAATAAGTTTATTTTAAATTAATCATTTTTCCTTGGTGCATGTTGGAAATAAGTTTGTTACAGAGTATGGTATAAAGTAACTTTTATTACTTGAAAGTGAGAAAAATAAGTAAATAATTCTAACATGTTTGGAAGCAAAAAGTTATTTAAAAATTATCTATAGCCAAGGTCAAGCATATAACCACTGTTGATGGTTTTAGTAATTAACAGGAGATTGGATGGGACTCGGAGAAGCCAGAGTACGATGGATTAATCGATGTTGCACATCGTATAATGATTGGTCGATCCAATGCTGAAGCTACTGAATCCGCGGTATCCACTATTTCCATTGCTTTAATTTATTCCTTTATCATCACCAAAAGTGATTAAAGCTGTTAGTTGCAACAGTATGCTGTTCACTGGAGATTAAGTAATTTGGGTTTGTGGGCAGGTCCGGATATTAAGAGCTTTATTTCCTCCATTATTATTAGAGCTCTACAAAATGCTTATTGCACCGATAGCTGGAGGCAAGGTAGCTGCTATAATGGTCGGTGAGTGAATTGGAGTCTCTTTGCAGTAATATTCTATAAGCTATACCTTGGTTTCTAATCATGTTTGGATATATTACCCTTGTTATTTTGTAAACTTGCTTATTTTTTAACTTTGATCAATAAAAAATATTATTATATTAAGAACTTATTTACTTGTAACTAAACTTTTTTAAGCTTAGCCAAACTGCACATAATGGAATACCAAAAACTTTATACTAGTTCACTGATGCATGGTGGTAACTAGTATCTTTCACTGTTATGATGTTTGGCCTAAAAATCTTATGGTGTAAGCATTCATTGTCATTGACTGGGTAGTTTTTTTCATAAAACTGCACTTAATCCAATAGGGGTAAGCATGAACTCATACCATTTTGTTGTGAAAATACATACACGTGAAAACTAGACCTCCTAAAACCAAGAACATTCATGGAAACTACCATTCAGTTGGTAGGCTTGTTTGGTAGATTTCTTTTGTATGTGTAGCATTAGTCTATTCATTCAATCATAATGCATTATTCATTTACCAAAATTATCAGAATGATACTAATAGTGATATATTATGGGTATTTACCAATTATTATTTAATTTAATTAATCTTATTTTCTTTTTGGAAGCACGGGTGACTGCAGTTTCTTGTCAATGGCTCATGGGACCGTGTACTGTTAACACTGTCAATCTACCTAATGGATCCTCATTGTCTAGTGGGGTAAGATTTTGAGTTAAGCACATGTTGATATGAAGAACTAGAACGTGACACAGACAATATTAAAGATGAAAACATCATTCAACCAAACATGCACATAATTTAAATTTCTAGGGATTGATTTGTGCTGTTTAATCGTAGTTTGACCGATATTGAGTAATTGGTATATTCGTGCAGGTGTTTGTGGAGAAATGCAAGTATTTGGAGGAGAGCAAATGTGTAGGTGCATGTATCAATACATGTAAGCTTCCTACACAGGTTGGTGGCTGTCACTTGGCTTTTGCATTTTCATCCTTCATTGCATCTTTTTTACGTATATTGTCGTGGATGACTAAATTAACTGGATCATTAGCAAACCATACTAACTGCAATCTCATTTTCCATCTTCTGACTTGCTCTATTGAGATGTCCAAACCATTTAAATCATTGCCAGGTTGTAAGTTTAAATTGGTTCAACCGATTAAAATCTTCTGTAAGTGAAATGAACCCAGCAATTAGGTAAACTATGTTTCTTCTGTGGAATTTAATAGAGCGCACCTAAGTTCTACTGTACATTGTGAGGGACATTGCTAACATTTGGATGACCAAGTCTAGTAGGAAAGTAGCTTTTTTGTTAGATTATGAGTATTGCGGTCTTTGCTTATTGCTATTTTTTCAGACTTTTTTCAAGGAGTACATGGGAGTTCCGTTGGTGATGGAGCCCAACTTCAGTGACTATAGCTGCCAGGTAAAATGTCTCTCAAGAATCCGTCGTCAATGCTAAAGTAATATAACGTTCGTGTTTGATTTTGTCAAATCAATCAAAACCTACGATTCTCCTTTGACAGCTATCCTTAAGGCAGATTTTTTTTTTCTTCCTTCCTTTTTTAATTCAGCATTGTCATCATCTTTAATTCCATGGAACTTAAATATTGTAGGAACCTCTTCAGTGACATTGTGACAACTGAATAGAAATGCTTACATAATTCCAGCCATCTATATATATTTGAAATAGTCATCGATTATATTTTCTGGAAAACTGCTGTAGGAAAACTCTACTTGATACGTTAACGCTTGAGGTTTAGCATCATTTGCAAGTCATTTCATGTGCATTTTGTTTAGCATCATTTGCAAGTCATTTCATGTGCATTTTTCTTTCTTTCTTTTTTGATTATGTAATATCGACATGTGGTCAATGTGGCAGTTCAATTTTGGGGTACTTCCTTCTCCACAGGAAGATGATAGCGCCCTTAAGGAACCATGCCTCGAGTTATGCCCAAGTGCCACCCGACGCAGGGAAGTTACTGGTGGGATGAATGTGTTAAAATGCCCCAAGGCTTGAAATTACCAGTCAATACTGAGTTTCAGCTAGTAAAGATTCTCTCCATCGTCATATCCAAAGATGAAAGAGTTCAGAATTCATACATACTTTAAATGTATGTATATATCTAAAAAAATTCATATTCATGCAGATTATCTTTACCTTCTTCTCGCCAATAAGATCTCTTATCAGGAAGCAGCATTTGTTCTCAGACAGCGTGATAGTGAGATTATCACATTATAGAGATCGTCAGAAATAATCAGAATTCTGAATAAATTTAAAGTCAACTCTATGAATAATACAAAAAAACGTAATCCCCTGCAAATTTGACATTTATGAGAGTGCGCACAAGAATTCTCCCATTCCAGGATGTGCACTATGAGGAGACGCATCAAAAATAAAATGGGACTGTTTCGCGCGAGTAGTCGTTAACAATTAAAAAAGGGATCAGATAATTGTGTTAGGAACAGACCTCTTGAGACAAAATCTCAAAAAATGGTGTTTTATTGGCAATGATTTACAATTGGAAATAAATAAAATGCCTTCAAGGGGCGCAAACACACAAGTACTAAAAGAAGTGTTTAAATTTGAACTAAGAAATTAAAATTACATATTCTCTGTTTGAGAGTGTTTGATTCCGGTCATTTATTTTATGTCCTCTCTTCCTTTTTATATTCCCTTAATGACTTCCTCGTGACAAACCGTTTGGAAACTGCTTGATTGTTTTATAACTACCCACTTTCTTTATGGTGGCTAACTTGTCGTGGAACTGCCGTCTTTAACTACTGTCATTACTCTTTGTCGTTCAACCGCCTTCAACTGGGCTCCTTAAATCGTGGAATGTGATAAAATTACTCAATAACTGCTATTCTGGACAATCATAATATTTTATATTTGCCAAGATACTGGGCAATTCGAAGGTTTGGGCGAGAACGGGGTCATCGCTCTGGGCGACCGTAAGGTACTCCATTCGCTAAGATTCTGGGCGTCTTGCAAGTTTGGGCGATGATGTTACTGTGTTCGTGGACTTCCACTGCATTTATCAATAATCCTGTTTGGACCTTTATCCTGGACTCCCCAATTGAGTTTCACTCTTTGGGCTATTTGATTTGGGCTGCATTTTTAGTGTGTCAATAATTACCCCCCAATATGGCAGAATCAATACCAATTATTAATCTTTGTCATATTCACTTTGTATTCTCCAGCAACATTTGAAATTTCCAAGAATTTCAATCATTATTTCCTTCTATAGTCGGAAAATGTGCGACGTTACAAACCCTTATAAACCCAAAAGACACGTCATTTCATCGCACCACTAAATCTCGTCTCTATATTTCGCGCTTCCTCCTCACTATTTTACTGTTCATATTCTTACTTCTCTGCTACGTTTCTCAGGCAAATTTTAACAAAATTGTACTTTGCACCCAATGGCGACTTCACAAACTCAATCTGATGATTCTTTTAGTTTCGAAGATTTCCAGAAAATCTTTATTAGGCCGTATGTAAATCCAAACTTCCTTACACCAGCCAATGCTGGCCTCAATGAATTCTATGTAGGTCCATCATTCAATAATGTCGAAGCCGTTGAACAAGTGGCCGTGGGCCAGCTATTCCCTTGCATTCAAGACCCTCCGCTCCTGAACTCTCTGCCACTGAGGTCAATTCGCGAAAAAGGTATTCGCACTTGACCCAAAGCTGATGTTATTTTTCATAGATAGCATACACGTCTTGTGAATCATGGCCCTACCAAGGCGATTTTTGATCGTGCTAGGATTCAAACTTATTAGAAATCGCTCTTCAACCCCCAATTTTCGACCCAGTGCTTTTTCCGATTGCTTTGAGTTTTTGGTCTTCTGAATATAATACCTTCGTTTTCCCTCTTGGTCCCATGTCTATTACTTTAAGGGACGTTGGAGCCCTAGTAAATCTTCCGCCTTTGGACGATACCATCTTTCTTGGTATCTTGATTTCCGGTGTTGGCCCGAAACTTAACAAGAAACTTATTGAGTCCTATTCAAGAATGCAAGGCTTTTATAATCATTCAAGCGCTGAACCTTCCCACACTGAGCGTGTGGCCTTTCTTCAAATTTGGCTCTGTAAATATATTCTCTGCGTGCCAAGTATGAAACCTTCTATAAGCTACTTACCCATAGAGGCATGGCTTCCCTTCAATCTCAATTGAAGAATAGTGCATCTCCCACTGGCAGTGGCCCCTTTGGTTCACTCAACTGTGGTTGAGAGCATACTTTCCACCACTTGGTGCTCCATCCATTTTCCTTCGTTCTGCTAGATGCTAGCTGCTATGGGCTAGTCATTGACCCATTGAAACCTGTAAATATGTCCAGTAGGGACATTTTTCATTCTTTTATACCTTAAATTCGATTCCTTCTTTCTTTCCTTTTCCTGCTCACTTGACTCCAGATTATGTGCAACCTTCATCCACCCTGGATAGTGCGAGCGCCTCTCTGCTTGTTTGGATTTCGTTTTTGATTGAGAGGGAATTGCTCCACGATATTTTAATTGGAACCAATGCTAAGGCCGGGGTTGAAATATATACTCCCCAATTTTTTGCTCGCCAACTTGATTTTGGTCAAACTTAGCCTGGTCCTCCTTGCTACTCCAAAAATTTGACAGATCGTTTTCACACTATTAATAAGGTAGAAGCACAAGCTGTAGATGCTCGCAACATTCTTTTGATGAGCAAATTTTCATTAGCCCCTTTCAATTCTAGCCGTGCCGTCCATCGTCTTTTTGAACAGCTCTGACCATCAGTAAAACGCAGATTATTTGCAACTGATGTTAATCGTGCCTTCCATTTACTGGATCAGCCAGACACTTCCTCTACTTCTCCTATTTTGGTCACCCCTATGTCCATTAGGAATCCTCCCTCCCCTGCTCGCGCTAAACGTCCTATCCATCCATCTACTTCTCCACCTGCCAAGGCTACTGCAACTAAAGGTGCCTTAAGCCGCAAACGGCCAGTTTCGACATCTCCTATTTTGCGGGATGATAATGATGATGATGAGGACGCTTCTCTCATCTTTAGGAGAAAGGTAATTGAATTTGTTTATTCACAAACATACTTATCTATGTACTAATGGTTTACCTGAATTTCTCAGAAAAATTCAGCCTCTTCTTCAATGGCTTTGGTTTTGGCAACTCCTGCTTCACCATCTTCTGCTAAAGCTGCTTCGTCCAAATCAGCTGATGAAGGGACTATACTTAAAGAGAAACCCTTAGTCCCGGAATCTTCATCACAACCAATAGAAGGGCCACCTTCTTCCCAGGGCGCCGACCCCCCAAATGTTGAATCAGAAGGTAATACATATTTTGATGTTTTACCTTTGCTTGTGCTACTGGTTTTTGATTCGTTGCTTCTTGAATTATGCAGAGGCTCCCATGGGTCTACCCATTGTGGCAGAGTCTTCTGGTCCAGATAAGGGGAAGTCCCCACAGGTGGTGGAGCCAACTGGTGATATGCCTGCACTTCCCAAGATTGCTGATGAGGTAACCTTTTTACCTCACTTTCATTTTCGCTTCGTTTATTGTAGTGAAAGCCCTCAATGTTGGCATTTTTCTTTGCAGGGTGCTGATGACATTGTGCGTTCCATCCAAGACTTGTACACTTCCTGGGGACAAGTCAAGACGTCTCGCCCTACTTCAACCAGTCATCCTTCTGCTTCATCTTCTGCTTTTTCGGAGGAAAATATGAAATCTCTCAAGCAGTCGGTACTTGAGTATGTGTCTTTTATGGACATGGATATCAGCCAGGCTAGTGCTACTAAACATAAGGAAAAGTTTGAGCTATTGAGTGCGAAATTGGCACAAGCACTTACACTTCCGTCGCTCAATATTTTTGCTGACTTTAAAGCGATATTGAAGGTTGTCCACTCTGACATCCTCTCCTTGCTAGCTAAGAATGTTGAACTGAAGGCCAGGAATACTCAATATCTTCGTGCTGCATCTGAAAGAGAGTCTTTGCTTCTAGAGATTAACAAAGTCGAGGATGAATTGAAAGAAATCTCTTCCGACGTTATGATCGAAGACTCTTTGATGGTAAGCTTGACTGTAGAGATGAAGGAGCTTCAAGCAAAGATGAACGACTGTAGGGAGAGAATGGCTGCTGAAAAGCGTAATGCTTCCCAAGGAATTGAATGAACCAAGTCTTTGGTTGAGCACTATAAAAAGCTGGAGGTTGATGACGATTTTGTAACTGAATTAAATGTCGCTTCTTCTCAACAGAGCAAAAATTGGGGAAGACTTAGGGAAAGAATACGATCGGCCTGGGGTGAATTGTAATTAAGACATCCAATGCCTTAACTTTCCTTTTGTAATTTCGCACTAACTGCCATTGCTAATTTTGAATATAACAGTAGCTATCGTCATTAATGAACAACTATTTTATCTACTTGCATATTAATTGACGTTGTCCTTAATCGTCAACCCCTCAAGCATTTAATTGCTTTATGCTAAGATTCATGTACATTCTTTCTTGGTATTCCCATCTCTTTTCCCAAGACTTTGGGTCATTTGATTTCAGTTATTAGGCACGAATGTGGCCGTTCATATTCTATCTTTTCACCTTCACGCCTCTATAAATGCGCGTGTATTTCGCACTTATCATTTTCGTTTCCATTCTTTTCTTCAAAAACTAATTTGCTACCATCGTTTGGCATCTCAACAATTGATCCAAAATTTTCGTCTTCCATAGAAATGGATCATTTGATCCGCCTATTTTGCTATCTGTTTTGATGTCACCTTTGATATGGGAAATATAGGAAATATTATTTGGCCAGCAAAGGTCTTCCCATCGTCTCCATGTTCTTTATAAGGAGTTCAATGATGGAAAGCGATTTTTTAGGATGCCTTTCAAGCCACTTTGCTTGCTGAGAGTGCTTCTCAATCTCCTTACCCGTTATTGCAGTAATGCGATTAGGCAGGCGACTCGAGGGTGCTTTTCTTCCTTTTTGCTTGTTGAGAGTGCTTCTCGGCCTCTCTGCCTGCCCTTGCAGCAGTGCGATCAGGACGGCGATCAAGGCCGGTTCACCCTCTTACTTGGCGATCGACCGAGAAATTAGTTTGCTCTCAATTATAGCTTATAGAGCATTTAGTATTTTGTATCTTACAATTTGTAATGAATATTTGACAACAAAGGAATTTATTTGAACGTATTTCGTTCTTGCCTTATTTATCTACGATCGTTCAATGCAATTAT